TAAAGGAGCTTATGGCCGGATTTATACGTTCATCAAAAATCCTTTTCTAATATTCTAGCTGGAATTCATAGCAGGGTCAACCGCCCGTTGCGCAAGGAACGAGGGGGTCGTATTTGGCAATGGAAAGGGAGGGTGTCGCAAAACCTCAAGAACCAATGATTAGAATTTGAAGGTGCCAAGCATCTAAGTTGCAAAGGAGGACAGACTTTTAACTACCGCTGCACATCCCATATCGAAATTCATTACAAAAATACGTCATGTCCTGTGAGCACAGGCGAAAAAATTCTTCCAGAAGAACTCCCATGGTTTCAGGCCAGGTATCCACAAACATGCCGGCCAGCCGGCACACGCAAACACTTTGTGTGAACCCCTGCGTAAAGGAGCTTATGGCCGGATTTATACGGTCATCAAAAATCCTCTTCTAATATTCTAGCTGGAATTCATAGCAGGGTCAACCGCCCGTTGCGCAAGGAACGAGGGGGTCGTATTTGGCCAATGGAAAGGGAGGGTGTCGTAACCTCAAGAACCAATGATTAGAATTTGAAGGTGCCAAGGCATGGCTAAGTTGCAAAGGAGGACAGACTTTTAACTACCGCTGCACATCCCATATCGAAATTCATTACAAAAATACGTCATGTCCTGTGAGCACAGGCGAAAAAATTCTTCCAGAAGAACTCCCATGGTTTCAGGCCAGGGTACCCGTCAGGAGGCCCGTCGCGCGGCAAGAAGGCTAAGTCAGCGGACGATAGGGATTTCGCGTCAATAATTAGAGCGTCCCATTGCAGGCCCTATCACGCGCTGCAACTCGTCCGCCGACTCTGCCTTCTTTCCCCGCGGCAGGCCTCCTGAAGGGTACCCTTCAGGCCAAAGAAAAGTGGAGGAAAGTGCGGCGAATTCAGCGGATTGACTTCTAGAGTCCTAATAGAAATTTCTGGCAGGAGAAAGGGTTTTCCTTCCGAGGTAATCTAGCATATGCCATAGAGTACTGATTTTGTTGATTTTGATGGTTTTTACCACTCCTCAATGTCCCGATTTTGAAGAAACCTATGGCCATTCGAAAGTTGAAAACTCATAATTCAGAAATGGCCTGAGAAAGTCATAGGCCGATGTCAGACTTTGCGAATCGCGCGATTCGCTAGCGTCTGCGGTCGCGTCGCGGCCAGTGAATCACTCAATTGGCTGGTACCGCAACGCGACCGCGGACGCTAGCGAATCGCTAGCAGTGAGTCGCAAACTCTGGCATCGGCCATAGAGGGAAGAACGGTACAATGGGACGATTTCTTCGAGAATTGAACATTTCCAGTATTTAGAAACTTAGAAAGAAAACAATTTAAAACTGTGAATTTTCGTATCTCATCTCATGAGACCGCTTCTGAAGTGAAGACATAACCTTTTAAATGAGGTTTGTATCGTAATGTAATTGCTACAAGGTTTAGTTATTCAGATTATAAAAAAGGAGATTGGAGAGATCAAAAAAAACTTGGTAGGTTTCTGAAAGTAGAAATCTCTGCGATTACTATCATGTATAAATTTACGCAAAAATTCAGGAAATTACTTCTATTTAATGAGCGAATTTTCATATAATCGATTCCCGTCCTCTGAGTGAGACAAAGCGCGAGGAGATACCCCCTTACTCACCCTCTCCATGTCGGTCAGCCCATAGATCTATATCGATGGTGAGCATAAAAATATGTAAAAGACATAATTGCTGATACAAGGGGTCGTACTGATACCCATTGAAAGGGGGGGGGGGTCGTAAAGGTTTTGAAATCTGCGCAGCGCACGGCTGACCTGATTCGTAGACAACCCAATGACGGCATATATCTAAGGTCGGGCATGTATCTAAGGTCGACAAATGAGGAATATAAGTGCTCGATTTTCCTCAGAACTACGTCCATTAGCTAATTTGTTGATTAAGATTTCACCGACTTCAAAGATGATGTCGCGCTGCTCTCACCAATCCATCAATACGTCTTCCGACCGACCAGTTTGCAACAGGTACAACGACCATTTGTTTGTTATCTCTTGCCAAAGGGGCGCTCAGAAAAAGGGTTGTGTACTACATGTGAACTAAATACAAATCAGAGCACAAGTAAGCCTTGCACTAGCATCGTGATATTGAAAGACTGCTATTGCAATAGTTCCAACATGTCTCAAAGAATCATCACTGGAAAACTTTTGCAATCTCTCCCAAAATGAATATGTCAGTTCTAACCACAAGCACACTTACAGAGTTTCGCGCAAGAAGGTTCAGCTTTCAAAGAGGAGCAAACATACGAAGTCCACCATCTATGGACGGTAGAGGGTAGGTTGGGCGGCTACGAGGGAGCATGGAACGAAATGCGCCTTGGGACGGCCACGTATGTGCGACGCGTTGAAAGAATCGGGTTCAAGCGTTCGAATTAAGAGCAAAACGATCTATAGAATAGATGATGTAGATGCAGTAGAAGGAAAAAAATGTCATTGCCATAGGTGAAAAGGCCAAAAAGGATCCTAGTGAGGGCATCCGAGAACCAATGGACAGGGTCAACCGTCACGTTGGACCGATTTCGAAAATTTTACGACCCCCTCCCCCCTTCTAGAGGGCCTCGATACGACCCCCCCTCAGGGTCAACCCTTCACCACCCTCGCCTGCCATCGCCATCATGGGGCTCATTCTATAGTATTCGATTCTGAGACCAGTCGACACAGCCCAAACTCCGCCCACTTTTTCCTCCAAACTTATCATCACTTCCCTTACTGTAACATTAACGCTACCTCGCGAAATACGACCCCCTTTTTCCACCCCAATACGACCCCCCTCACCCCTCGTTGGACTTTGTCCAACGCACGGTTGACCCTGCCAGTGGAATCGTTCCCGCCGCCAAAATTTGCGAGAGATGTGCGGCTGGAATTTGAACGTGTAATGACAATCCTTCCGATGGTTTGAATTTTTTGTTTGAAACAAACGCTTTTTTTGTTTCTTTTTTTCGTTCTTATCGTTGTATCCATTTATCGTGAGTTGTGAGTCCCCAAGCAGTTTTTTATGGCTGAGAGAGCATCATGAGTTTCCCATGGACGATTTCTTTGAGTGCGATCTCTGCCAATCCCTTTATTTTGTAGATATAGAAAGGTATTACTATTCAAAGTTGACAGGACAGGTTAAGTTGCCTGGCACAACAGAAAGAAAAAAGAATTTATATTCTGCGTCTCTACCGCTATTGATGGTCTGAACTACGGTAGAACATTTTATTAGTGCCGCTGCACCAAGCCCTTGCTCAAGTTTTGTTAAAACCATTAAAACCTTCTCCAAACAATCTCTACTCATTGTAGTTCTTTCTCTTGCACGCACTGAGCTGAGAGCCTCTTTAAAAAGTAGTAGTTTCGATTGAAAAAATTAAATATTTCAAACGTGGAGCGTGCTTGAAGGATTTCATGCCAGACCTGATACTTTGTCGGTTCCCTCCTACTCCTCTTCCAATCGCTTCCGTCATTTCTCATGGATGTCAAAATGGTGGTTCACATAACTAAACAATGTGGCTAGTTGTAATCCTCAGTATAAGATTACTGGGTAACATTTCGGAAAACAAATGTTCGTCTGGTGTTTTCGTAGGTCGGTGAGAGGTATCGGCTCTCGAAATCGTTGTAATAATCAGTAGGACGTCGTCCATCACAGAGCTGACGCCTCAGTTGTCTTGTCAGAACTCAATCCATAGCCGCCCTATTCTCCTCCAACTACATAGTCTTCACAGCACTTCGATCTTACACCCCCCCCCCTTGCCTACTGTGTTTGCCGTCAGTGTCGAGAATGTCATCTTCAAAAATTCACAGTCGTAAAGTATATCTTCGATTTTTACCACGACCTTCAGTTGAATCTTACTCGACACCAAAGGAAAAAAGTTCATTGCAGAAGGTACGGTCTAGTTCGTTCTCTCGTTCTTACTATAATACAATCGACATGTCTGGGCGGTCAAATTTGGTCTGTGAAAAAAATGAAAAACGTTCTGGAACATCCTCACTAGATTTCTGTTAAAGCAATTGTGTACGGCTTAGAATTTGTGATCGTTTTGCTTCCTCCCTAACGGAACATAAGTTAAAAGACGATCTCTTAGAATGCTACCCAGTGTTCGTGGTGATGCTGGTGTAGTGACAATTGATGTGCATGACTGGCACGTGGTCGCTGAACTAAAATCCGGCTCGAGTGTTGCCTAGACCAACAAAGTCTCCCATCCCTGCGATATGGGCTCTTTCTCAGTAGGAAGGTTATTCCCTAAACCGCAGCCGGATCGCAGTCAAAAGTCACCATGATTCTGAACGGAAGCCAAATGTGTGGCGTATCCGAAACGGAATTGATCAGTTCTGAGTGTTTGCCTCCTCTCTTCTCACCTCCTCTTCATGACTCTCATCGAGTGCAACTTGTGAGCTCAGTTTTTTTTGCAAGGCTCAATTCTCACCCACTCACC